AAAGGCCTGATTGATTTCTTTAATGTATTATTATTGATTTAATCATCATTCTTATCAATATATTCATCTTTTGTAACGTTATATAAGTAATAATGAATCCTTTTCTTTTCATTCTGAAGGCAAAATCTTAAAAAAAGAACAATAGATCAATCCAAAACTTATGTCATATATGTAAAAATTTGAATTTAAAGTAAGAGATATGATTGGTCAAAAATCAAATTTTTATTTAAATTTAGAAATGTATTTTATGTAATTCATATCGGGGAATAAAAACTATAAAAATACGATATATATATATATTTTTTATAATCAAAATAGATTATATAAGAAAACAAATAAAATAGTATAATTAAATAAAATTCAAATCCTTTGTGTTAAATCAATTTTTTGAAATCATATTGAAAGTTGATTGGTTAATAATAAAATATATGGTCACGTGACGATTTGTTATTAAATTTTATACGGTAAACAATTTCACGAACTTTTGCCTTGAGACGATTGGTTAATAAAAATCTGCAATACGATTACAATTTATTTTACTTTATTTATTTATATAAATATCGATAAAAAGATAGAGAAAGTATCAGACGACGTAAGCCTGACTGAAAGATAATCTGATTGTAGAAAAATATCGGATGGCGATAATTTATTAATATTTTATTCTTAAAAATAAAAATAAAAATAAAGTCTAAAAATAAACGAAAGAAACTTCAAAGAAAAAAAAAAAAAAAAAAAAATTTTAAATTTCGAACTACTTCGAATTACACATGCGCGACAGACGATAATTTAAATTAATTACACGAAGCTGATTGGTAGATTTACATTACGTACGTTTTTAAATTTTAAATTTAAATTTAAATTATCTGACGCATGCGCAATTAAGAAAGTTTCGAATTATTTAACATTCGCTGATTGGTTAGTTATTTAGGACGGGAAAAATTTGAAAATTGAATGTAATTATAACGAATAATAAAAAAAAGTTTTTTTTAAATAATTTTTTCCGGTGTTTTAGAGTATTTCTAAAACCACAGATGTTAGACACCTGTGGGTATTTCCTGTAAAATTCACGGTATCAATTGCATCGCTTTATTCCTGGATATGTCATTGTTACTTATTCTATAAGAGTAATTTATTTCCTGTTAAACTGAATGAACAAGCTTAACGTTTATAATTCAAATATTTATTCAATGTATCATTGAATTGAATTTTACGGTTCCGGTTTTAAATTAATAATAATTATTTTATAACTAAATACTAAAAAAAAAAAATATATATATATAGGCCTATAAACGAACTTAAAATTTAAAATACGTCATCGATGACTCGTTAGGAAATTATTAAACGTCTATGATTAATTTTATTAAATCTGATAAGAAATTGTATCGTATTATTACGTTTCAACGGATGACGTATAATAATAAATGTTTAATATCAAGGTTTCTACAAAGAAACTTCAGTCAATCTCACTTCGAGCCATCCCCACCCACAAGCGATGGCGTCACTAAGACGTTTCTATGGTAACGATGATTCAAATCGGTTAAGATGGAAACCAACGGATTCGTTTGACGATGACGATGATGATGATGATGGTCGGCGGTGAAAAATATAATTGTAATATAGTCTGACGTCACACGAAAATATAATTTGGTATTTTTACGATCGTAAACGGGGATCGTAATAATTAACAGAATTATAACCAATAGGAATGGAGGATTTTAAAAAAGAAACAATACAGTCGCCTGGCGTAAGGAAAGGGATTTAATCGGCCATAAATTGCGATTTATCGATTTAATTAAAATCTTTTACGCTAATAAAAGGGGTGATCGATGAGTTCATATGGCAAATTTCTTACGGATACACAAGAAAATAAAGGAGATAGAGACGTTGGAAGCCGGTATTACCACACGTAGTATATTACATTCATTCGAATTACGACGTTTACGACACAGGTTATTTTAACCAATGAAATTTTAATTAAATACAAACATCAAAATAACATTTTATTTATTAATATCCCTTCGAAACGTTTCTAGAGTGTTTACATACGGAGAAAATGACGTGGGTGGACTAACAAACTTAGAATCCATTGACTTAAAACCTACGCTTAAATAGTTTGTGGGACAACTTACGAATTAATAAATACTACATTCGCTGTAATTATTCCATCACCTGACTAATATGACCCCCCCTTTTACACGGATGTTGTTAGTCACGTAACTGGTTACGTCCCCCCTCCTAAGCCAGTTGGACTAATTAAACCGCCATAATATGGTGTGACGTAGCCTCATCTATAGTAAATCACCATGTCATACCGTTCATTTCGGCCATCGAGCTGGCTAGAATGGCCAGCAATCGTCATCAGTCACCTGATCAATATTTGTCAGTTTAAATGATTACCTGATTACGTTTCCGATTAAACACCCGAATGTACTGTACACTACGGTAAATCACGTGATTAACGACGGATTATCTGGCATATGGTTCCTAATTAGTACACTAGACAGATGACATCTAATTTGATCACCTGACCGATTTCGCTTACCAATGTTTGGCTGGTTGATTAAGCGATCACGTGAATAATGACGAATTCCCCCTTACAAGATGACCTCACGCACACACACACGTGTTAATTTAATTGGCCATCTGATCGATGTTTTGCACCGTTGACCGTTATATTGTCCGTATCAGTTACGTGATCAATTTTTTAGTTTGCCACGACACTCGACGTTCATACCTTAATAAGGTAATATGTCACGTCGCGAAATCGATCAGGAACCCCCATCTTTAATTATGAAATTCGTGATCGATAACCAATTGTTATCGATCACGCGATTGATACGAACACCTTAATACGGGGCTGGTCTATCCGGCAATTTTTATTGTCACAGGACTGGTACCGGACCGGTTCTCATCAGTGAGGATTCGTCTCTTTCACTCGATTAGGATCGGTGTAGTCGGTTTTATCAATTACCTGACCCACATAAATTATACAATACACCTTCACCTTTGTTTATAGAGAAAATACCCGTTCACCCGACCTCACGTGTGTTTATATTCTAAACCATTGGTGTGATTAAATGGCGTAAGATACGACGATAATTGTCTGAAACACTAAGTAAACTGATGGTACCGGTAGCTCGAATGTACAGCATAACCTAGTGATCGTGCCGCGACCGAGTGTCAATACAACTATCGATCACCCCACCCGTAAGAGGAAAAACAAGCTTATAAATCGGTTATATCTAAAACAACAACACAATTAAAGGCCATTTGTCGTCACATTTAATTGATTAGTTAACATTCGACTCGACAGGTTATTCCAATTACCGTATTTTAAATTTGTTTAATAGTAATCACTCGACGACCGCATCCATTAACCTAATCACGTGAACGGGTGACAAATAAACTCTCTCTCCCCGACTTAAAAGTACACGTAAATAAATTTAAATCACGTGACGTGACGAAACACCGAGCTTCATAAGGGGGGTGGGAAATAAGATTTTCTTCTTCTTCTTCATCTTCTTTTTCAAACTGGAGGGGGAAAAAACACTTTAACGTCAATTACGTCATATCTTTAGTGTCTAAGCATGATTTATATTGAATATTAAAAGATTCGACTAAAATAACTTCAGTGTTGGATGATGTATAAAACTATAGAAACTCGGTTACTATAGCAACAGTTTCATTTCGACCGGATAAAACAATATACTGCAATTCTACGTCATTCGATATCTTTACGTATGTGGGTGACCAAAACAACTGAAAAAAAATAATAATTTAAAAAAATATATAATTACTATATTTATATATATATATTCTAATAATAAGAACGTGGCTCTATAGATTTATCTAATTTATGTATTTATTCTCTTCTATATTTAAACAGAAAACAAATTTTTTCTCTCTTGTGTACACGTGAAAAAGTGTAGTGTTTAAGATATCATCTTTAAGTTTTCTTTTAGTATTTTTCTTTATTTTTATAAAATAAATCCAAAAATGTAGCTTGAAACAGGAATTATTATTTGAAAAAAAAGAAAAAGAAAAACTTCACGATAAAACTGCGGTTTATCCCCGTAGGTGTGTGTATAAATCAATTTTTACGGCATAATGCGGTATTTTTAAAGTAAAATGTCACATTTTTCTATATAAAAGTCACGTGTATTTATAGTATAATGTTAATTGTTAGATTTTTTTATACAGTAGTAATTGTTTTTTTTAAAAAGTGGATTTTTTTCTAATTGACACCACCGAAGATATTGTTTTTTTACTTACTACTATTTATATCCAATTATGGAGACGTTGGTGTATTAACGATTCGGTATTGTAATGCCACAAAAAGAAGGTAAGTGTATTATTTTATAAATAGAGTTTTAGGTATAAGGGTAGTGTTTAAGGGGGTTAGAATTAAGGCTTAGTGTGTAAGGTGGGATGTAAGCGGTTTCTACGCATTAAGATTCTGCGTTGGATGCATTTTTAATAATGAAGTCATAGGTTCTACTACACGCCATTCAACGCTTTAGCGTGTCACGTCGTAGAGGTAGCGAAATATCGATTGCCGAAATGCTGAATGAGACCACCCACGCAAATCCTCAGATTGTACAGGTTTATGTGTATTTTCGCTATATATATATATTTAAAAAAAACTGACTTTCCCGTCGTCCTCTTCGTCCAACCGGATAGAGGATGTCGGAAATTAATATAATACGCCTAGTGTCTAAACACGGGCGGATTAACATAACAGGGGTTAAGCAGAAATGAGTTTTGGTGTAGGTAAAATATAAAAATTGTAGAATTTACGTTGGGTGAAAAAAAAATGGCGATTTGGACGGTGTTTATGAGAATATTCTCTGCTAATAATGCGATTTAACAAAAACCGATCAAAAGCTGGCGCGATAGTAAGCGATTTTGACAGCTTCTCCTTGTACATACGCGGAGGGAAGCGAATCGATGACATCACTACCGGAGTGGCGCTATTGGCTGGTGGCCAGTCACGTGACGAGTCGACTGCAGTCAATCGCCCGAGCAGAGAGTATGGGAGGACAGAGCCCGAAGGTTCGCCGTTTATGTGATGGGTGTGAATAATCGATGTGCCGAAGCTTAAAATGTGTTCGATACGTATACGTAGGATGAGTGGGACACCGTGTTACTTTAATGTGACATGATGAAAATCGAACGCTTTAAATGAGCAATTTTTTCTGTGCAATATAGTTCCGACAATAATATGCCCTGTCGGGAACAATCTGACCAATTGGTTATGTCTGTAACACCGGAATGGCTAGTGGAAAACATCATTAATCCAAATAGTGAAATAATCGTTCTGGATTGTCGCCCTACTTGCGATTTTCATCATTCCCATGTGCGCGGAGCCATCAATGTCACACTGCCCGCCTCGGTGATAATGCTGAGGAGACTAGCTAACGGCAAGTTTTGTATTCCTAGTTTTATTACGGATAGCGATTGCAGGGAAAGATTCGTCAAAACCTGGAAGAGATGCCCCATCGTTCTTTACTCGGAAAGTGACGGCGATATGTCCAAACAGGGACCTTCCGTTCTGTGTACTCTTTACCATCGGTTACAGCAAGATGGCTGCCATGTTGTTTGTTTACAAGGTAAGTCGTGTTGATACTAGCCAAATGCTCTAACGCTGGCTCTCCTGGTGATTTACCCTTCTCGCTAGCGATTAATCGCTCTTATCGGTCGCCGTTAAACGTCATTTTCTTTTTTTTAAGGCCATTTAATGCCAACTCCTCCGTGCGACTCCTCTAGGTGATGGCGTAAAACCATGTGTAAAAAAATAAAAGAAAATAAATAAAAAGATCGAATCGGGTGCAGTAACGAAAGTTGACAATGTAGTGCATGCTTGACGGCATGAGAGAATTGTTACCATGCGTGACAAAGCTTCCGGGCATAACAATAATGACTTCAGATGTAGTGGAGATAGTGAACCGAATTTCCACTCGCCATCTATTGTTATTTAACAGATTCGATTCTTATATTTATTTTTTTCTTTACAATTTATTTTTTTTTCTCGTCTTCCTCTCCTTTTTTCCGAGTCTAATTTACTTTCCTTTAAATTAGCAGGGTGTGGCCCTCTACTAAGGCCGATCTAGTCGAAACTGGGCGTCATGAATGCCCTTGGCTTCATTCATCGCAGTGTTAGGTGTAACTCTACATTCGAGTCAAGGTCGTGGCTTAATTAGGAAAATTCAGTCATTATAGGAATGGCCAGTATTGCATTGGACTGCACGTGCGATTATTTTCGTAATGAATGAAGTTTCGCCGTGTTTATCAGTAACCCAGAGACGGGTAGATAAGTTAACAGTGGATAAATCGGTCGCCTGTAGATAAGAGAGGGAGTGAGATATGGTCGTTGGTGTGTCCACGCGGTTTGCGCGAATTTGCACGAATCCGGTTGTTTGTTTTGGTTGTCGACGCGCCGATAAGGGAGCGGTAAATAAAGATTTATTGTCGCATCTTCATCCGGTTATTGAAATAATGCACTTTACCCAAAGAATTATCTTTCATTTTCAGAGGGTTTTAACGAGTTCGCTTCTCGTTATCCCGAGTGGTGCGAAAGTGGAAGACCCGAAGAACAAGTGGAAGCTACCCTACAGGGGTTGGGTAATCTTTGCATATCCCCCGTCGTGGATCTTCAAGTATCCGATGCGGATAAATGCGATAGTGGTTTGACTTCCGATAGTCCCAACGATCCACCTTTCCCCGTGGAGATCCTACCTTATCTGTTTTTGGGAAATGCGGAAAACTCCACGGATCTGGAAGCTCTGGAGAGGCATAAGATACGTTACATTATCAACGTCACGCCCAATCTTCCCAATGCATTCGAGAACGAAGGGATAGGAATAAAGTACATGCAGATTCCCATACACGACCATTGGTCGCAGAATTTGGCCAGTTTCTTTCCAGACGCCATTACTTTTATCGGTAAGTTTTGTAATATACGTTTCATTGATGAATCTACCACACACGCACACGCACACGTTCTCACACACTTCCATTCATATTCTGAAGGATTCGCTATCGATCTCTGGCGGTTGTTATGGTTACCAGCAATGTCGGATAACGTGAGATTCTTTAACTGTGTAAAAAAATTGAATGTTTACCCTTTGTATCGTCGATCGAAGAACATTTTTAAAATCCTTTTCCTGCGTATTCCCTCCATTACGTAGTGTTACCATTAAGTTAACTGGTGTAGACCCGTAATTCTCTCACGTGTTTAGGACACTTGGACACGTCTTAAATTCATAAAACGCCATTATTTCGTGTGTTTTTTTAAAGTGTAGTGTTGTTGCGAGTGCTCAGTGACTGTAGAGCGTTATAAATAACTTTTTATTGACTTAAAAATATCATTACTCAGCCTTCGTCAGCGTAGATAAGAAGCGGAAGAGACAGAGAGAGAGAGATATTTGGTATGATAATGCGAAAATTGCAAAATTCGTGGAGTAAATTTTTAAAACGAAAGTTTTATTTTGATGATTTGTAAGTTCGGAGGCGAATTAGATGTTACAGGACACGAAAGAAATGCTTGACCGATCAACTGACGTAAAAGAGAAAGGCAAAATTGCACGCAAGAAATACGAGTTGTCCGTCGACAAAGAATGAAATAACGAGAATAAATGGACGTCACTAGTTAGTTTCTTACTTTGACATTCTGTGGATTACTTCAAATCAAATATATGGATCCTTACAAATACATTTACCACGTGTTATTTAATAATTAAATTCGAAAGTCTCCGTATCGGCAATAATCCCTCGTATAAGTATTACTCTTTTTTGTTTTGTTTTCTAATAACACCCCTCATCTACCCAGTGTTTGGTTTCTACCGAATGATATAAAATTTCGATAAGATAAATTCTCATGGAATAAATTAGTATTGTGATTCCGTTCGTGAGATAGTATCTTGGTTTGAAAGGAGATAATTGTATGTAAAGAACAGCTTTTGTTGTATGGCTGCAAGTCATAAATTGAATTTGACAATAGAATTAATTGGACTGACTGTAGATTATTTTTTTTTTAAATCGTTTAAACGAATCTTAAAGATAAACAAACCGACAGAATTGTTTGCTCAGAACGTCAATATTATGGAGCTATCCGCCATTTTTCTTGGAAATTGATACTTTTCAGAGTTCTCTCTTGTATAAAAAGTATTTGCCTGTTTGTGTAGGTGTATGTGTTTGTGTACACATACAAGAACACACCTACAAACACAAACATTATATATGTATATATTATGGTGTAAAATTTACCAGTAGTGTTTTGCGGCCCTCTTATCTTATAGTAAATATAACCTAGTTTTTAAAAAAAAGGACTCTTAAATGCTATTTCGAATTTTAATATAGTTTTTCTTAGCCTTGTTTTGGTTAAAAACTGATTAAGAGCATCTAAATCCCCCACGTCTTCGTGTCCTTCGAGTATGATTGGTAACAAGATACGATAGGAAACAACGCTTTTTCTATTAACATAATGGAAAATTTGGATTGTAAAAGCTTAATCTCACTTCTTAAATAGTTTAAAATCAATCTGTTAATGTTAAAAGTACTCGTCGATACTGTACAATTTAAATTTGAAAACGGAAAGTAAAAGAAAATCACCTCCGGTTAGTATTAAAATGATATATATTTTTAGTAGGAAATCCTCCATCTGCTACGATTCTTTCCCTTTTCGTTTCCTGTTTATTTTCATGATAATTAAAGGGACTATTACTAATTGGATTCCTCCTATCGATAACGAGCGCTTAAAATAAAAAATAAAAATAAAAATAATAATAATAAATGAAAGAAAGAACCCACTCGATCTCCATTTGTAATTCCTAGAAACGTGTCGAAAATGGCAGCCATTGTAAGGTCAAGTTATCGAGATAACATTCCAGGAAATGGGGCGATACAACGCTTTATTTTTCAGCTTAAGTGTACTTTCGGCCCGTTTATTACTTATAATTATAAATATTTAAAAGTGTTAAGAAGTCGATTGAAAACCTCGGTGAATCGTCATTGTTTGCGGGTAAAGAGAATTGGCCCACTGCCAGAACACCATCGGGAAAAGGGGGAAATCCCTCCCCTCCCCTCCACTTAACTGAGTAAACAAAACAGGAAGGGTGTGATAACAATTCCATTCAGGTTTTCTGCAGGAAATAATTTTCTGCAAATGTTAGTCATTTTTTCTCCTTTAAAAAAAATAAAAATTGTGATTAACACGTGTTTAGAAATGGAGAAAGGAAAAATAAATCTATTTCATATCGATTTTTTTTTTTTTCGTATTTCTCTTGTTGTTTGCTATCAGCCAATAGTCTACAAGTATTTTGTTTACGTTCTGTTTAATTCAACACGTGCTTAAAAATTGATGAGAAAAAAATAATCTATTTCAATATACACGTGTTCTTCTCCTCCACATTTTAAATCGGTGACGTGGCGTTTCGATAACCAATCGCATTAGCACATTTCTGCGATTCGCTTTCTTCGATTGGTTAACAGGTGGCGAGAAAATAATCAATTTCGACGTTTTTTTAAATATTTGAATTTCTGACGTCACGCCGTAATAACCAATTGCGTTAATGTAATTTTATTATTACATCATCCATGCTTCTACCAATGAAATTTATCTTAAAATATTTCTAGAAAATTGAATTTTTCTAGTAGCCTTCATCTCATCTTATTCTTCATCTTGAAATAGTTGGCCAATTTCATGGGCCAACTATTGATAAACATGTTTAAAAATTCATGAAACGAAACAAATCCACGTCAACGGTTTTAAATTTAAATCCGGTGACGTAGTTTATTTAAATAGCCAATCGCGTTTGGTAAAGAATTTAAATTTGTTTTTACCTAACGCCTGATTGGTTAATCTATTAATTTAAATTTGTTTCTACAATTTTTCATTATTTAGACACTTAAAAGTACAGTTTCGTAACGGAATTAATTAATATAATCGCTAGCATTTAGATTATTTTTAATGACGTAAAATAATGCTGTAAGGTGTTTTTATAGGGTGTTGTTCTTTCTGTTTACAGATGACGCTCGCCAAAAGAAGCAAGGTGTACTAGTCCACTGCGTAGCAGGCATTAGCCGTTCAGTCACTATCACGCTCGCCTATCTCATGCACAAATTGAGCATGCCTCTTAACGATGCCTACGATTTCGTCAGACGTCGCAAAGCCAACATTTCTCCGAACTTCAATTTCATGGGCCAATTACTGGACTATGAGCGTCAACTAAACTTGACTCCCGGACGTTGCACGTGTCAAGAAACACCCTGTAAATGTCGTGTTCTCCATTTTATATCCCCTACCCGGTCCACTCCCGATTCGGGCATAGACATCGATAGGTGGACCTGACAATAATGGCGCCTTCCTCAACTAGTCACCTTCCCTGTGCCAAAATTAGCATCCGTGGTGCTGTTATCATCATCAATATTATCATTATATATATATAGGAAAAAAAAATCAAAAACTGTTAAAAAAATTGTGTTCGACGAAAAAATAACGTTGGATATTAATATATATATATATATACATAAATTATATATATATATGTATAAAGATAATCACGATACTCGTCTGGTATGTCGTCTACTACTTAAAACACAAAATCGATAATACTCGATTGCTGATGATCGATACAACTTTTAATTTTGATATTCGAGACATGAAATTTAAGAGTTTTATTCCGACATTTTATGTACAAAATTAAATTATAATTGTATCCGCAATCCCTATTATCCGTCGACTACACCCGGCACCAGACGTAACCGGGCGCAGTCCTCGTTGTAAAGTAACGGATAATCGAGGTTACGCGATGCTTTTAGTTCACCGCGCGTTTTAAAAACTACAAGAGAGTGATTTTTTTTTGGTCACACGATCGTCGTTAGAACGGCAAAAATCTCTTAACCGGCGCGAGTGTGTTAGAATTTTATTGTTCTCGAATACCCGATAAGGTTGTATCGATTTTCGCCCACCTGTTTTTTTTTTTTTCGTGAAGTATACTCGTGACGTCATAGCACCAGATTATCATTGATCCACCGGTATTGTTTCGTTGAACCAATTATATATATAGATGAATAGATCTTTGCTGTAAAGAGAACAATTTAGAAAAAATACAGACATAAATACAATACATACACACACACACGAATACAAACAAACAAATACAGATACACACGTAAAAGTTGTTATTTCATTAAGAAGATTTAGATTGTGTTCAAGTGTTTACTGTCTTTGTACGGGAACCACTTTTCGATTTATTATAATCCCTTTTTTTTATATATTAAACGAGTTTCTTGCGTGTGATGTCATGGCATGATCACGTGATAGTGAGAATTGTTTCTATTGATTAANTCGGGTGTGTCCTGCCTTGAATAATACACTTTAATGGGTATTGCAAATTGGGCTGCTGTATCTTGTGTGGAGCCATGTTTTTAAATCTACGAAAACTTTGCCAACAAACAACACGCCAGTTCGTTGGCTCAATGTGGATTACGAAAGCCAAGTGATGAACATACATATATACTTATATATGTATGTATATATATTTAAAACGAAAAAAATACAAAAAATAAATTTAATATTTTGAAGAAGTTGGTTTCGTCTCTCGAGATCTTTTTATTTGATTCGCTTGTGTATTTTTGAAAATTTAAATTCTCATAAAAAAATAAATAAAATAAAATAAAATAACGGCTATAAAACAATTCGGATAACCACGTGGTTAGAGAAATTGATTATTTAATTTTGAATCGTTTACGTGATTAAATACGTTAAATCGTGTTTTAAATATTTGAATTTATCACGTGATTCTAATAACGAATTACAGAATTTAATCTCTTTCAATTTCCGTTGATGTAGAAATTGATTCGTTAAGTGCGTCACGTGATTTATAGCGTCATTGTTTCGCAAGTACAGTACGTGGCTCCATCTTTTGCGAAAAATAATAAATTAATTATAATTAAAAATTTTCATTTAATAAACTTTTTTTTTTATATTAAAAATTAAATTTATAATTATTAAATCTAAAGTGAGAATTTAATATTATTTATTATTTTTGAGCTAAATATCTTAAAGACATGTTATTTATTTTTAATGCATTTTTATGTTACCATCTGCCAGTAAATTTTTAGGTGAAATTCCCTATTAAAATGACAATAATAAACTCTTCGTAAAATACACGAAACACGTTTTATTATTTGTTTATTAGTGAATTTCTGTAAAAAAATGATTCATTCTACTGATATTTTTTATTGTATAAATGTAACAATATATTTTGTTCATTGATATCTCTTATCATTGTCATTATGATTCATAAAAATTAAAAAAAAAATGATTACAACATATACATGATGATTACTCGTTGTTTAGATAATTTAAAGATTTTATTAATTTATTTCTGATTTTAAATGTAAATTAAATGAGAAGTGTTTAAAAATACTTTAATTAAAGTGTTAAGTAATTAAACACCCGGAATTTTTTAATTCTTATCACATCTATGTTCTACCTTGATTCATTTGCATCATATCTTGTTGTATTAAGCCATTGCTTACAGTTAAGTTCAACAGTACTTCATACCCTTAAAAAATTAAAAGGTAAAATATGCTATTTTTAATATTTAAAATTAAGTTTTTTTTTTCTTACATTATTTTAAGTGTAAGAAATAATATATTTATTAGCTATATTTTAAATAATAAATTAAGTAAGCACATTAAATTTGTTCAGTAATGTAAACCTGACACATGTAGCTACCACGTTCTCGTCGCCATATTGATTAGCAAATCTAACGCGTCGTAATGTATCAAGGATAATAAATGACGGTGCGTGTCAGTTACTTTTTTTTTATTTTTAATTCGTAACTCAATATAATCGTAAATTATGTTTATTATTATAATACTACGCCTATAGAAAATATTCAAAATCTTTATTATTATACGTTCAGCGTTATATAATATATTTAAAAGATTTTTATGTAATTGTAATGAAATTTTATATTTTATTATCTAAATTAATTTTATAAAAATTTAATTAATTTATAATTTCGTTCTCTTAAATTTATTATATATTTTTCGTAATTTTTGTGCACATTTATAAATAATTAATTAAGATTTATTAATAATTTCAACTTATGTCTCCAGATGGCACTAATGGTACACTTGACGAGAAATTAATTAATCAACGCCACACATCCGCCATTTTTAGACTTCATCTTTGTGGAATTTATATAAAAAGTGAACAATATAAAATAATTTTTAAAAAATAAACTTTTCTCGTAGAGTTATGAAGTCGAAAACGACATTTTTATATATTAATAACTCCATAAAAACGTCATTAATGTATCACGTGACCATGGTATTATTTTATCGCAACTCACGTGACACGTTTCAAAATGTTTACTTTAGCGCTTACACCGAGCAAACTGTTTATAAATGGTGGATTTTATGAAATATTAACCGGATTTTAACTGTATTAAATAGAAAAACTGAAAGATAAAAACCAGTTAATTACAAACAAAACAGTTTTTTTTTTCAAAAACGTTGTACCGAGGTATTTCCGACTGGATCTATTTTTTTTTTTTTTTTTCATCTGGTCAAAACCAGACTGTGCAGCGAGGAATGTTCTTATGGCCAACCAAGCAAGTTTACTTAGGTGAATGAACTCGGTTCTCTAAACACAAGAGCCATGAATTCTCTACGTCTATAGCCCTCCACGTGATCCATCCCTCATAAAAGGATCCATACGTACTATGACGTAATCGCAGGTAAATATTTATGTTTTCTAATACCGAAAATGTGCCAAAGAAACTCGGGTGTGTCCTGCCTTGAATAATACACTTTAATGGGTATTGCAAATTGGGCTGCTGTATCTTGTGTGGAGCCATGTTTTTAAATCTACGAAAACTTTGCCAACAAACAACACGCCAGTTCGTTGGCTCAATGTGGATTACGAAAGCCAAGTGATGAACCTCTAAACAAATCAGTAATTGTAATAAGAAATTCGAGGTGTGTCGCAAAATGTAGGTATGATTTTGGAGTTTTTTTTCTTTTTTTTTTAATATTTCTGATGACTTTTATGAAGTTTCTTAAACGAAATCCCTCAGAGAATAGGTTAATAATCGTACACTCGATAGGCATACGCAATCAAAGCTAAGGTAACTGTATTTCTTGAAATTGCATTTTATCGTAAAAATAAGTGTGTTTTTGAGTTTTCCGAACGTTTAAACATTACATAAGTGAGTTTTTTGTAATAGCTGATAAAAATTTTTAACGTTGCATACTTTAAAAGTACCTTATCATAGCCTAGAAGTTATGGTCTAGTATGTGAGAAAATACTCTATAGTGTTTATATTTGAAAAGGTATATCTTTTCCTTATTTAAGTGAGAAAATTTTCTTCTTAAAACGAGGATATTTTTATATTATTTTTAGTTTTTATAGTTAGTAAATGTTACGGTCTAAATATGAATAGCAATTGTGAAAAGAAAAAAAATATGGCGGCAGTGTAAATTATTTAAATTAACAACCGCAAGGATGCGTTAAAAAATGCTAATTTCAATTTTCGAACGTTCGATATTTATCCTGTAGATGTGTAGAACATGAAAATAGATCCGAATCGACTCGATCCGGATTTAGATCCACTGAAAACGGTGACTTAAGTTGTTTGCAACAGAAACTAATCTGGATTATGACATCATATATTTCTACGTTTATTTTCGCTAGGAGGAACAGACTTTGGAATTGGTTCTTACGAAAATACAACTGACTTAGTCCAATTACAACTACAGGAACTAACTTTAGTTGGACACTAGCGCGTTGTACTCATAAAGAGCAATTGCCTAGGGCCTCCACCTTAGGTAATTGCTCTTTTTTTGAGTATAACGCGCTAGTTTCCTACTAAATAAAATATTTCCCCGAAACTTCTGAAGTCTACACTGTATATGTGGCCCCCTAATCCAAATTCGCCTATGTCCCATGAAGCTATAACCTGCCACTGTAGTCTATCAAGTAGAAACAACCATATTTTATTTGTTTCTACTTCATTGTACTTTCATAGGAACCACAAAATGTAGAGCTAACACTTTGCTGGTTCCTATTTTGTTGGGCTTACTAATTAACGATTTAATAGGGAGTAAAAATTTTAAATGTTAAGTAAAAACATCAATCTATATGCTATTTTTGGAGCCGAGTGTCTTCGGGTGCCATCGTTCTACAACGTTGTAAGCCATTGTGAAAGGTACAAGGTTGCATTTAGACTATTATTATAGCTAATAATGGACGAAAAAATATCGACTTAATGGTCGAAGGAGACAATTGTATACCACGAAATGCCTTTTGTACGATAATTGATTATACAATTTGTAGATTATAGTCTCTTGTTTAGATAATTGACTGTGTCTTATATGTATTATAATGCTTATTAGATGGAATGGAGATAATTTAAACAAGTGCAAACACAAGTCATTCATCGAAACTAGCGTGATTTGTAGCGGTTAGATAAGTTTTTTTGGGGCGCTGTATACACATTTCTGTTCACTTTTTCTCTGTGTCTACTATATACACTTGTTTACTAAAGAAGATAAGTGGCATTTATGGATGATTGCAACACGTTTCCGTCTCAAATACACCAAAAAACATAAACTGCAACCTTAATTTATGGCATGTTTATGTTAATACGTGCTAATTTTCATACCTGTATTATGTTCAAAAAATAAAATATGCCAATTTCTTTTATATAAAATATCCCATCATTACCGTTAAGTCCATTCAGGCTACCATTTAGCCTTAAGGTAGGGTAGTCGAGCGTATAATAAGGCTAAGTAGCTAAGCAAGATCAATACAAGTCGACCCCCCTATAACACCGTTGATTATTCCGTTTTATATGAATTTCATGTTGTAGGAATCACTTAGATTTTACAAATACACGTGCCGGGCTGTGAAAGGCTCACGTATTTGTAAAATCTAAGCGACTCGTACAACATGGAATTCATATAAAACGGAATAATCAACAGTGTTATAGGGGGGGTCGACTGGTATTCTACAATTTTCACGTATTGAATTACAGTTTATCCCTGAGAATTTTGGTTGTAAACTATGCATCCTTTTAAACATATTTAATATATTTTCGAAATTTTATATATTTACAATATATTCTAGCCAAAATAAAAACTACACCCGTGAAGCGTAGTCTTGGTATGTTATGACTATAAAAAAAACATCCGGTTGTTTTTAATTATCACATCTATTATGGAGTAACACGTAAACAAGATGTCACTAGGATTCATTTTCAATCCTCGATATAGTGAATTTCCACAAGACTGGCCAAATTATTCACTATATCGAGAGCCAACAAAGTAGCCTACCAGTCGACCCCCTATAACACTGTTGATTTTTCCGTTTTATATGAATTCCATGTTGTACGAGTCACTTAGATTTTAAAAATACGTGTTCCGGGCTGTGAACGGCTCACGTATTTGTAAAATCTAAGTGACTCGTACAACATGGAATTCATATAAAACGGAAAAATCAACAGTGTTATAGGGGGGTCGACTGGTAGTTCACTATATTGGGTGGTCGTTACATGATACTGAGAGGAAATTAGGCAGAGAACACACCGTGTGAGGTTATTTGAGGTTGCACGAGATAAACAATAAGTGGCACAAGTTCACGAATCTTGCATTTCAAATATTGTTTGCACGTAATTTGCATAAATTCCATCCATTGTTCTCGAATTCCAGGAAAATTTTCGAACTTGTTGCATTCGAAATTAAAATTGTTTTCGGATCATCTGGTTAAAAATCTGTCGCATGACTTCAATACTTCCCCCTGTTTGTCTGCACGTAACGGTTAAAATTCAAATCTGAAAACCGTTAAAGAAGCTAACTCCGGATTGGTCATTTTAAAAAAAACAATCAGAATTAACGGACCAATACCGTTAGCTGCTTTGAATTTCTCGTATCTTAATTATTGTATTTGTTATATCAAATTTATTAATGAATTAAACTTTTGCGAGCAGACAAACGAATGGATAAATTTATTTAAAAAAACTGCACATCTATACATAATTGTCAACAGAGCCGCGATATACGGATACCTCCCTGTTTGCATTTATTATTTAATGAGTAACAGCAGAACAGCTGTGTGTATACCCATACATTTGTATAGTAAGAACACCCGTATAGGTTGTAGATGCAAACGTATCAATCTTAATTATAAAATGAGTGTTGTTTACCTTTACTGTTGGGTAACTTTAATTGTAACGAACAATTGGGCATGACACATACACGAACAGTAAACTGATTCCCTTCCCTGCACACGAGTCGCTTTAAAGAGTGAAAGTAAATATGGGAATAGATAAGAATTTCATTTTTATAGTCAGGTTAATTGGGTTTAATCACTCGACGACAACTGGTGATGCCTTTTATAGCTTGGTGTCTTCGTAACGATGTCGATGACTAAGCTGCAAAACGAGACATTAAACTTGTGTTAGTTACGAAATTTAAGAATTATTTTATAGAAAAATATAATTTTCTACAATTTAGAATGGAAAATATCCAAAATGGGGTACGGTTTATCGATAAACAGAAGGTAAGACGGCACGAGAATTAATTTTCTTCACCCCGAAAGTGAGCAAGTTCGTACTTGGAAGTGAATAAATGAATAAAAATTTAGAAAAAAAGACAATTAATTATTGAATTTTCTGATGTAAAAAATGCAAATTTTATTATTTAAATTCTCACTTTAAAAAAATACAAAGTAAAAAAAATGTCAAGAGGAAAGTTAGAAGTTATTGACCATGTGACCTACTTTTAATGATGAAAGTTATTAATTAAATTTATTAGTGGGCAATTAAAAAAAAATTGTATTTTATTGAAGTTTTCTTGTTTATAAACTAAAATCATTCGAAAAATTCAAAGTTACACTGTTACTGTCTCTAGTTTTCGCGTAACGTCAGTGGGGTTCTACGTTATAAAATGTCAAATAGGTGTAACGGTCGACACGTGGGTTACGTTTGAATACCTGTATAAACTGCGAAACATCTGTCACCGAATAGTGACGGCAGTTCTAGTTACGTTACAAGGTGGCAGGAGAGGGGAGAACAAAAAGCATTTAGATCAGTTGGAAGCGGTGGAAGGACCTCGATACAATTATTAAAGCGCAGGTGTTCTCTACCCACCCGGAGGTGGGAGAAGACGATGGTAGTATATTCTTAATTCTGGTCGTCACACCCGTCTCTAGTCGAAAGTAAACGTTCTTGTCATTCTCTATTTGCTGTTAGCTGAACGAGTATATTCACTCTTTTGTTTTGTCTCCTTTCTTTTTGCAGCATCCTCCGCCGCATCTTCGGATCATCATGGATTCTTCAGGTTTCTTCCCTCCTTATGATGAGATGGAAGTAAGTTTCTTGAATTTTATTCCTTAATTTAATTCTTTCTTTACTTATTATTATTATTATTCCGTCGATTGGTCAGTCGCCGGTGCAATTATTGAATCGTAACAACCGTGACCCGTGACTGCACTATTTAATTATCGTGATCCTGCTGCGTGAAGTGTGATTTCTCTCTCTCTCTCTCGAAAAAAAAATAGAATTATTTGGAAATTCCGCGGGGCGTGCTTCACCGAATTTCGCGATTTAATTTGAATTCGAACGGTGGCCATTTTGGAATTCTTCGTGATGCCACTCGATTCGATCTTCTTGAATAAATTCGAGGCGAGTGAAAGCCCTCCTGGACAGCTAAACGTTTGTTAATAACTTTACGTCACGCTAAACTTGCGAAAATTTCACGGTTGTCGGCGAATTTAAAACGTTTTCAGTGGGTCATTTAACCAAGATGGCTGCCGGGAAAGCAAAATCGAAAGTTCGAATCGAATCTTCGATACGTTCGAGACACCTAGCGGCGGAATAGATTCGAACATTCGATTCGCTACTAGAAAGACACCTATCGGCGGAAGATGGTGTAAATGACTTTTTTTTTTAAATGTACGAGCGCGGCGAATGACTTTATACACGCGCTAAACCGGGTTAAAGTTCGTTGTTATAGTTCCGTGTTTAGTTTTATATTTCTGTATGCGTCTTTGATACACACATTATATATGTTTAGGGATTGTTAGATCTGTAACGCATCAAAATGGCGTTAACGAGCCGAAAAATTTTTATTTATTTTCTACATCAGTTGGTATAACCACCCACGTTGCTCACCGACACTCGCCTTCACAATCGGGTGAAAGTGTTGCCAGGCGTCAGCAAATCATCAAACCTTATAAATCGGCAAGAAAGCCGAATGAAAAGTAAAGAAAGTTTATTACAGATAAGGGGTATCGGCTCTTGGAAAGATAGATAGGGAGATAAGAGCGCTGAGATCGCTGGTTGTACCTCGCGAGCCTCCGACCACGTGACTTAATGGTACGAGTGAGCGGGGCAACAAGCGGCAGCTGTTCGTCGTCCTCTCGTCTAGTCGCGAGAAGTAGACGAGTTTTACCTGGATACAAATGAAGATTGACACGAGAAAACATCGGTGGTGAGTCGACCCCCCCACCTTTGCGTATATTATTTACGATTTCCAAACGACACTACCGACGGATATGCTAGTTACTATAGCGATAAACACCGGTGACGTAAGTTAATCGTAGACATTTTTTCTGCCGGTAAGCGTGTTTTCGCAGCGAATTTCTCACGATAAATGAGTAAAACGAGTTCATCTTGCGCCATCTCTCACGTTGAAAAAAAAAAATCATCTGTGGTGCCGATGATCCGGCGTGATCATCGCCGTTTAGTTTGAGAAGTTTCTAATCTGTCGATAGATCTTTGTGCCACTTTATAAAGTAAACGGCGCTTATTTCTAGGGGTGGCTCGATAAATTATTATCGATTATCCATCGATAAGTAGAACTTCATCAAATACAGATGTGCCACTTTAAACTGCGTGTTCTAATGCTAGACACTTCGTTGTTAAATTTTATGGTTGCAGAAAACTTTGAATGAGAGTATGGTCTCTTCTTCAGTTACTATTGGAGTGCTTCTTGCGTGTGTGCTTCAGGGTAACTAAACACGATAATGGTTTTAAGTTGTAGATTCGTTTCTGCCTGAAAGCTTCGAGATATGATAATGCCACTTCGAGTTTGGATCCTGTGTTAAAGGTTATTATATAGGCTTCGATATTATCTCTAGAATACTTCTCGCAATATCATTTTTCATTCCAGCCACAAAACAAATGAAATTTTGGTTTACACAAGTCACTACTACATTGTCGTGTTTGGTAATAGGTCAAAAATTCGTTAATATTTTATAATACCCCCGAACTGGTGGTAATATCTAGTGAGTAAGCGATTTTCTTCTGCTTCCTGTGTAAGAAAGACACGAGATTTCCGGTTATAGGTAGTGCTGCAACGACCCTAAATCATCCCTAAAGGCCTCAGATGGCCATCGTTATTACATTAAGTGTAGGTGACTCGGTCAGTTGAACTCGTAAGTTTCCACTAATCACGTTATATCATCGGGTAGTAGCTTAAATTGAGTCCATTTCTACTACCCCTTGTTCTATTTCCTAACACGAGAGAGCTTTGTTCTCCTTGGTCGATGGTCCGGAAGTTGTTTTTTCTTTCTTTTTTGGACTTCACGCGAGACATTGGAGTGTTGTTTGAACTGCCATAAAATTTATCTTGTGTACTTTTTGCCGGTTTACAACCCGATATAAACACAACATTAAAGTGTACGCAACTGATAACTGTATCTGTCTACCTTCGATTGTGATGTCACAATATTAAAAGAAGAATGAAACAATTTGTTTAAAAAAAAAAAAAAATTAAATTTAGTTTGTTCTATTTTTAAATGGCAGCCATTTTTGTTACACTTCAAAATCGATTATAATAATAGTTTGGTATTGTGGCGGCTCGAGTGTTACTAAACGCAACAATGGAGTTACTGTGCAGTTTCCCATCTGTGACGTCTCGAAGAAAGAGTTTATTGTCGACTTTTTTCTTAATTGTGGTTCTTCTTCGACTGGTTGTCTTGTATGTAGGAAGTACTCGAGACTCGTATTTAGGTCGCGTAACCTGTATCGCGTAACTGACTCGACACGTTTCGTACGACCTTGAAAATAATTTTAAATACGGCGTGGGACATCTTATAATTTTGCTAATTAAGTATTTAAAAAAAAAATTTAAGCACCCCGAAAGTGTAAACAGTACAGAGATGTGGGGTACAAAGGGCCGAAACCGTAAACCGCCAGCGTTATCCGATACACTCAATAAAATGCCACAAATCGCTTAGTGTGATGACGGAAAGTAACAAAGTTTAGTGTTTTTTTTCCGAGCGGAAGTAGTGTCACGAGTTTATTTTGTTGCAGATGGCGAGAGGTCGACTGGACGAAGAAGCAGTTCAGGAATTAATGTGGCAGGACGATGAGAAATTCGAAGAAACTGTTTCCACCTTAAGCACGAGGGTAAGCCACTTTTAACCTTGTGACGTCATATATGAGGTACCTGTTGACATTGTATAGTAATTAAGGATAGGAATTCCTCTCCGACTCGGCGATAACTTATCGTATTATCTACATCCTTTTTCGATTTCAAACAGTAGGAACCTTATTATGAAACACGCGAGCAGGTATAGAAAACACAAGAAAGCATAAAAGAATACTTGCCTTTTGTTACGTTTTTCTAATAATTACATCATTAGGATGTCTTAAAACGTTGATATTTATCTGTAAAAAGTTAAAAAAAAAAGGATTTCTGTTTTTAGATGAGGAAAAGCTTTTATCTCGTTGAAAATCTGGCGCATTCGTATTTGCGAAAGAAATAATAACGCCATTTTTAATGATTTCGTTGCTTAAAAAATGCGAAAGATGACCCGGGTTTCTCGACATTACAAAAGCTGTCTTTTGTNGAGTTGCAGGACCGGTTTTTGGTTTTTTTTTGTTCCCCATTCACACCGGAAACCACGTGACTAGCGCCAAAGTGAGCGTGACACCATCACTCCTATCGAGTCGGACTGGTATAAAGCTGCTGCAGACGTGGTAAGTGCAATTACTGTTACGACAACAATGCTTTTTTTTGGTGGGAAACGGGGGTTTTCACCCGGCGAATTATAGAAAAAAAGAAATAACAGAGCGGCTCTGGAATCGCTCTAGAATTTTAATTGATAACGTAACCTGTACGAAGCTGTTGCTCCCTCGTATCTCGATTTTACCTCGTCTTAAGGGGGATGGGAGAACGATGGTGACGTGTATTATGCACGCGCAGCTTTGACCTTGAAATTCTTGACGTTCCGATGGAACCCGTAAACACGAATTTAATTGTATACGAGTGTCATTCACTCGAAATTTGGATCAAGTCACCTGGAAAATCACGTATTGCATCAGTTGGCTGTTCCACGTCGAGGAAACACGCTGGCATGGGGGTTAGTTAACTCGATTTAGCGTCGAAGAATGTAAGTACTATTGTACTCGAATTCTCCGATACAACGTCATACGTGTCGAAATTCTAACATCTAAACTTTACCGGTGTGACTTGTTTCAATGGGGATTGTAACCCAGTTCGGGTGTTTGTTAATGGTAGAAAGTTTTCGGTTTTTAATGCCGTCTGCTCGTTTCTATAAATAGGGGTAGTAGTAAATGGTCTCACGCACGCACGTTAGAATAGGGAAAGGTTACGGTTCGCTTCGATTATCCGGGTATGTATTAATATTCAGAGAGGCCTTCTTTCATTCCAGCAAGCCATTAAGGCTAAAGAACTGAGGTCGATCGACGGTCACGTGATGGATTCGACCGAAAATCCTGAAGGTGCCTTCCAGAAGAGGACTACAGAAGAGAAAGAGTATGAGGAGGGGCACGAGGATGCAAAGTACCAAATGAACGGAAAGCTGGAAGACTGCGATTTTGTGGTGCACAAAGCGGATTACGGGGAACCGGATATACCGTCACCCGATTATAATTCCGAGGAGGAAGATTATCAGGTGCACAGGAGCGAGGATTACGTCGACAATACGTCTTCGTACGCGTCAGACCCTCGCCGTTACATCTATTATCAAGACGAGAAGGAACTCGAGGTCATTCCCGAGGAGGACGAGGAGTTCGAGGGATTTGGTGACTGCTCTGCAGAACTCCATGGCTGAGGAGCAACACCGCTTCGACCAACTCAGCATAGAGTTGCAGATGTACCAGGACACGGAATGTGTCGACCATAAACGCATTTTTGCGGCCCTGTGCACTTCGCAGATTAGGTTGGCTCGTCTCTGTACCCGCAACATGAGATGTTTCACGCAGGTGAGAAGGCGTTTCCTGTTTATTTTCTCAATTTAATTTACACCTTTTTAACCAACGAAAGTATTATCTCCCATAAAAAATAAATATTTAAATATAAATCAATTTTAATGAAAGCGCCCTCCAACGTTTAAAAAACCAATTCTTAAAAAAATCTGCCATTTTAATTGCCGAAACTAAAAATGAGTAATGTTTTACGTTAAAGTTTAATTTAGCATCTGAGGAATTATCTTCATAAATTTAAAAAAATATTTTTAATATGCATTTTACGACAGACGAGACTAAAATTTCCTTACGTAAAAAAGTAAATACAATTTTAAAATATATTGATTTAAAGAGCGCCACCCAACGCGTGAAATAATAATTACTAATTCGGGAACAAAAAAGGAGAATTTTAAGATTATTTTATTTATTTTTGAATTTCAGATACAATAATTTAAAATACCTATTGGAACGAATTTAAATATTTATAACAAATTTTATTTTTAAATATTATTAAACCAATCGCGTGAGTTGAGGACGTAAATAGAAACTTTTTATTTATAAAGCATTGCGCCACCTGTCGGTACTATAAACGATATATCGATTGGCCGGAAATGCTAAATCGATTTTAAAATATATGACCCAATAGGAAACGCGCAATTTTAAAAACCGCCAATAAGAAAAAAAGCCATGGCGGAATGCTTCGTGACGAGACTATAGTAGTAGAATTCGCCATTCACTACCACCTCGTATGCTACGAACGCCGAGTAGGGAGTTGCAGGACCAGTTTTTGGTTTTTTTTTGTTCCCCACTGCACATAACGGTTAAAATTCAAATCTGAAAACCGTTAAAGANACAAGAAAGCATAAAAGAATACTTGCCTTTTGTTACGTTTTTCTAATAATTACATCATTAGGATGTCTTAAAACGTTGATATTTATCTGTAAAAAGTTAAAAAAAAAAAGGATTTCTGTTTTTAGATGAGGAAAAGCTTTTATCTCGTTGAAAATCTGGCGCATTCGTATTTGCGAAAGAAATAATAACGCCATTTTTAATGATTTCGTTGCTTAAAAAATGCGAAAGATGACCCGGGTTTCTCGACATTACAAAAGCTGTCTTTTGTATTTATTCTAATTTAAAAATCTGCGATTCTTCTTCCTCTATTTTCTTAAATTTGCACCTGTGCGTCCGTTTATCCTAGACTAATGACCTATTTACACAGCAAAAGAATTTTTTTTTATTCCTTGTATACGAAGAATAAAATAAAATCTGGTAGAAATTCTCGAAAGCGTATCGATTTTTATCTCGAAATAAATTAATTTTTATTGGATACAAATGAAGATTGACACGAGAAAACATCGGTGGTGAGTCGACCCCCCCACCTTTGCGTATATTATTTACGATTTCCAAACGACACTACCGACGGATATGCTAGTTACTATAGCGATAAACACCGGTGACGTAAGTTAATCGTAGACATTTTTTCTGCCGGTAAGCGTGTTTTCGCAGCGAATTTCTCACGATAAATGAGTAAAACGAGTTCATCTTGCGCCATCTCTCACGTTGAAAAAAAAAAATCATCTGTGGTGCCGATGATCCGGCGTGATCATCGCCATTTAGTTTGAGAAGTTTCTAATCTGTCGATAGATCTTTGTGCCACTTTATAAAGTAAACGGCGCTTATTTCTAGGGGTGGCTCGATAAATTATTATCGATTATCCATCGATAAGTAGAACTTCATCAAATACAGATGTGCCACTTTAAACTGCGTGTTCTAATGCTAGACACTTCGTTGTTAAATTTTATGGTTGCAGAAAACTTTGAATGAGAGTATGGTCTCTTCTTCAGTTACTATTGGAGTGCTTCTTGCGTGTGTGCTTCAGGGTAACTAAACACGATAATGGTTTTAAGTTGTAGATTCGTTTCTGCCTGAAAGCTTCGAGATATGATAATGCCACTTCGAGTTTGGATCCTGTGTTAAAGGTTATTATATAGGCTTCGATATTATCTCTAGAATACTTCTCGCAATATCATTTTTCATTCCAGCCACAAAACAAATGAAATTTTGGTTTACACAAGTCACTACTACATTGTCGTGTTTGGTAATAGGTCAAAAATTCGTTAATATTTTATAATACCCCCGAACTGGTGGTAATATCTAGTGAGTAAGCGATTTTCTTCTGCTTCCTGTGTAAGAAAGACACGAGATTTCCGGTTATAGGTAGTGCTGCAACGACCCTAAATCATCCCTAAAGGCCTCAGATGGCCATCGTTATTACATTAAGTGTAGGTGACTCGGTCAGTTGAACTCGTAAGTTTCCACTAATCACGTTATATCATCGGGTAGTAGCTTAAATTGAGTCCATTTCTACTACCCCTTGTTCTATTTCCTAACACGAGAGAGCTTTGTTCTCCTTGGTCGATGGTCCGGAAGTTGTTTTTTCTTTCTTTTTTAGACTTCACGCGAGACATTGNCCGAATTATTTTTTTTTTTAAATTTAATTTTTAATCAATGGAAATAATTAGGGTTACTTTAAAAAATTGAATATTTAAATATAAATCAATTTTAATGAAAGCGCCCTCCAACGTTTAAAAAACCAATTCTTAAAAAAATCTGCCATTTTAATTGCCGAAACTAAAAATGAGTAATGTTTTACGTTAAAGTTTAATTTAGCATCTGAGGAATTATCTTCATAAATTTAAAAAAATATTTTTAATATGCATTTTACGACAGACGAGACTAAAATTTCCTTACGTAAAAAAGTAAATACAATTTTAAAATATATTGATTTAAAGAGCGCCACCCAACGCGTGAAATAATAATTACTAATTCGGGAACAAAAAAGGAGAATTTTAAGATTATTTTATTTATTTTTGAATTTCAGATACAATAATTTAAAATACCTATTGGAACGAATTTAAATATTTATAACAAATTTTATTTTTAAATATTATTAAACCAATCGCGTGAGTTGAGGACGTAAATAGAAACTTTTTATTTATAAAGCATTGCGCCACCTGTCGGTACTATAAACGATATATCGATTGGCCGGAAATGCTAAATCGATTTTAAAATATATGACCCAATAGGAAACGCGCAATTTTAAAAACCGCCAATAAGAAAAAAAGCCATGGCGGAATGCTTCGTGACGAGACTATAGTAGTAGAATTCGCCATTCACTACCACCTCGTATGCTACGAACGCCGAGTAGGGAGTTGCAGGACCGGTTTTTGGTTTTTTTTTGTTCCCCATTCACACCGGAAACCACGTGACTAGCGCCAAAGTGAGCGTGACACCATCACTCCTATCGAGTCGGACTGGTATAAAGCTGCTGCAGACGTGGTAAGTGCAATTACTGTTACGACAACAATGCTTTTTTTTGGTGGGAAACGGGGGTTTTCACCCGGCGAATTATAGAAAAAAAGAAATAACAGAGCGGCTCTGGAATCGCTCTAGAATTTTAATTGATAACGTAACCTGTACGAAGCTGTTGCTCCCTCGTATCTCGATTTTACCTCGTCTTAAGGGGGATGGGAGAACGATGGTGACGTGTATTATGCACGCGCAGCTTTGACCTTGAAATTCTTGACGTTCCGATGGAACCCGTAAACACGAATTTAATTGTATACGAGTGTCATTCACTCGAAATTTGGATCAAGTCACCTGGAAAATCACGTATTGCATCAGTTGGCTGTTCCACGTCGAGGAAACACGCTGGCATGGGGGTTAGTTAACTCGATTTAGCGTCGAAGAATGTAAGTACTATTGTACTCGAATTCTCCGATACAACGTCATACGTGTCGAAATTCTAACATCTAAACTTTACCGGTGTGACTTGTTTCAATGGGGATTGTAACCCAGTTCGGGTGTTTGTTAATGGTAGAAAGTTTTCGGTTTTTAATGCCGTCTGCTCGTTTCTATAAATAGGGGTAGTAGTAAATGGTCTCACGCACGCACGTTAGAATAGGGAAAGGTTACGGTTCGCTTCGATTATCCGGGTATGTATTAATATTCAGAGAGGCCTTCTTTCATTCCAGCAAGCCATTAAGGCTAAAGAACTGAGGTCGATCGACGGTCACGTGATGGATTCGACCGAAAATCCTGAAGGTGCCTTCCAGAAGAGGACTACAGAAGAGAAAGAGTATGAGGAGGGGCACGAGGATGCAAAGTACCAAATGAACGGAAAGCTGGAAGACTGCGATTTTGTGGTGCACAAAGCGGATTACGGGGAACCGGATATACCGTCACCCGATTATAATTCCGAGGAGGAAGATTATCAGGTGCACAGGAGCGAGGATTACGTCGACAATACGTCTTCGTACGCGTCAGACCCCCGCCGTTACATCTATTATCAAGACGAGAAGGAACTCGAGGTCATTCCCGAGGAGGACGAGGAGTTCGAGGACATTCAAGAGATGCAGAGTCCTTCGGGAAGTCACGTGAAGGGTGAGAAACTATTTGTATACCTTGGCGCGTCGCTTGTTGCGATATCCTCGGCGTGTATCTGTTTACGTGGAGAAACAATTATTTTCGTTGGCATGAGAATGTGAATTAGTATTGAGAGTTAATTAATTCCATTAGCGCATTATTAGCGGGCGAAACTGGAACTTTTACTTGGCGCGACAAGTATCGACGCGCCACGCGCCTGTCGCTTGCTCCTATTGACGCGCGACATCTTACCTATTCAATTTTAAATTTAGGACGTCGAGGGGGGAAAATTAATGTTAATAACATAAAAGGATTGTCTAGTAATTATAAAAAGGGTCAGCTTTTTAATTATTTTAACGAGGTTTTGTGAATTTTGCAAGACTTGTTATGTAAATCACGTTTACGTCCTTGATATTTAGAAATAAAAAAAAAAGTGTTAGTATCGCGAATCTCTAGGGAATTTTCCCTAAAAATTATCCTCGTGGGGGAATTTTTTGCATTTTTTTTTAATACGGTCCAACAATAGTTTCGTGACGTTAGAAAATGCTCAATTTCCACTTTAAACTGACCTTCGACGAAATTTCCGGGGAAGAGGGAAAATTCCCGGAATGTTCGAAAATTTCCGGGTAACGGGAATTTTTCGGGCCGAGGCTATTATCGCCGGAGGGGAGTGCGGGAGGTCGGAAGAGAAAAAAAGGGGAGGCGCCGCAGTGCGGGAGGATTGTCGTATCGAACTGGATGCTTCGTGTAGAGGATGAACGAAGCGTTGCACACACTTGCGGTGGTTTCGGAAAGTTTCGATTCTCTCGTGTGGTTAGAGGATATTTTGTGCGTTGGCACGCACAGAAACGGTAGGTTACCCTCTCCTTCTACATTGTCTGCACGTGACATCCCCACATTTTCAATTAAAAATGGGTTTTTGTGTTTTGAAATGCGTTTTACGCAACTGTTAGAGAAGGAGATGTTGGACGGAGTGAAGATCCTCTAAAGGTCACGTGACGCAGTTAGGTAACTATCAGGTGAAGAATTTGCATAAATTTTCGAATATGCTGAAGTTTTTAATTGGTTTTTTACGCTTTTTGGGGAGTTCGTTCGATTATTTTGCATTTTAAAAACCTTTTTTTTCTTCTCTTAATCATTAAGAGAAGTATTTTTTAAAAAAATCTTTATGCTGGTGGCGATGAGAGGGGTGTGCCTTTTGCTTAAAATACCTCAGTAATAGTGTGTTCGAGCGTGACGCTATTTCGACGGTTACGTAAAAATACGTTAAATGAAGGGTGTCACTTCGTGTAGATTACGTTAGCATTTTTCTTCTGTAGATGGTATCGACGATGAAAGTACAAAAATCAGCCAGACAGAGTGTGATTCGGGTGTCACGGATGATCAACGCAGCAGTGCTGCAGAGGAGTGCGATTTAGAGGACGACGAATGTGATAAGCTGAGTCTGGGGGATACAGACAGTGCCAAAGGTTCCCTACTTCCGGATTCCGTCAGCCAGTCTCCCACTTGTTCCGACAGGCTGTCATTCCGCGTGATGGCAGATTCCGGTCATCCGCAGTCTCCGGATGTGACGGGAACTCTTTCGAGTGACGAACGGACCAAGTTTGCTCAGGAAAACTATTTAATTCGCGAGACCCACGCGGATCTCAACATCATGAATGGCACCAATCTGAAAGTTGTTAAGGATATGCAGTGTAAAGTTCAACAGGTGGAAGAAGTACAAAGTGTTCAGGTGGATACTAGGCAGGCGAATGCGACGGAAGAAGAAGAGGAGGAGGAGGAGCCGGACGTGAGGAGAACGAAGAATCTGACTTCGTCTTGGGATCCGGTAAGTAGTTTCAATTCAAATTTGGCTTTGGGATGTGGATGACGGCTGTAAAATTTGTCTTTCAACACTTGCAGACAAATCTCCTTAACAAACTCTATCGTTTGGAATATGTTCAAGTGGTAAGTAAGCTTTGTTATTGAAACATACGAGTATAATTGTTAAATTTGTGTATAGTTTGTTGCTAATTACATTATTTTTTGTGCAGCTTCCTAACAAAAGTGCCATTTATATAAATATTGAAGGCTATCTGGAAAAGTTACCTTCGGGGCGGAAGAAAGCCACTTACTGGAACCCCTGGAAGAGAAGGTATTTTCAAGCCAAGGATGGATATCTGTATTGTTTTGAGGTATCTCTATCCCGAAATTCACAGCAATTTCTTTTGAAATTCTCTAAATGTGCAATTAATTCGATTACTCGTTTAATCAGAACAGTCAGTGCGACAAAGCGACGACCAAACTGAGCCTGATGGGTGGTTCTGTGGATAGTCTAGAAAACAACATGCTGGGAATCGACGACAAGGTTTTTATATTCGACGAGAATTAGTTTAATTATTCTTGGCATACGAATAACATTGGATAATTTTTGCAGAAAGGGCATTACATTGTTGTGAAGTGTGGCAACAGAGAAGATATGGAAGAGTGGAAGAGGGCCTTGCTCTCTCAGTGTGCGGAAGACGTAGCTCTAAGTTACGTTCATCCCGTACAGTTTCCTCTTAAAAATCACAGGGTGCGTAGCTGCTATTATTAAACAGTGTGTGTGGTTCGACATTATCTTAATATTTCTATTTTTAGGACGTGATCATCATAGATTTGGGTAGTTGTTCGATACGCGCAGGCATCTTGATGGATCAACGTAAGTAGATTTATCTTTTTAAAGTGTGCCTTTTTTTCCTTTTTAGTTGTCAACATTGTTTGTCATACTGCTTTATTAGTTTGTCTTAGCTCAAAGTTAACAAGACAAATGTCCGTATGACACGACAATGTGTAATTGGCCTCCATTCTTTGTCAACAGACAACTTATTGATAACGCTAGCGCATGCATTGTAAAAGGCCTACTTAGCAGACAATGTATGACCCGGTTTATATATTTTTTCATATTCTATATTGTAAAATTTTTCTGTATTTATATACTACGAGCGCACACTTCTAATAGTAATGAGGAAATTGCTAATTTTGCAGTAGGGAGTACAATTAATGATTTAATTCTATTTTTTTTTTTTAAATTGCTTCTGGAAGATTTACATCAACCCGCACTAAAAATTTTATCTTAAATTTTTTTTTCTCTGTTGGAATTTATTTCATAATTCAAGCGTAACTTCCTTTCGACCTCTTTTTTTTACGAATTATTTTAAAATATTGAATAGATGCGTCAATTTCCTTCAAAAAAGGCGCATAACGATTTTTCATATTCGCTACATTTGCATAAATTTACTTGTAACTTTGTATTTTCAGCCACCCTACCGCAAGTGTTCTTCCCTACTGTTTGCTCCGTAGACAAGATAAGGTAAGTACCTTTAAGTGGTCACATTATATGATACAATTGGATTAATCTACTGTTTTTGTAGTGGAAAAGAGACGTTTGGTATGGAATGCCTCTTACCAGACATTAGGCAGAAAGCTACGTTATCGTTTCCTGTTCTTCCTTCTGCAAAAATTACAAAGGTTAGTATAGTGTTAGAGGGAGAGATAATTCCTTTCGTTCACGCCATTATCTTAATTTCCTCTTGTGTTACAGTACACGTTCGACGTCGAAAGGTTTCCAAACTTACTAACTAAAGTATTTCAGGAATTAAATGTAAATCCTTCGCAATTCAAGGTAAGAAACTTTATTCCATTTAAAGCCAGATATACCTGTACTTGTGTACACGTTTTTAACGCTATAAAGTGTTCTTATCATTGTTTAATTCGATTTTTATGTTAGGTTCAACTCTGCATTCCACGCAGTTTCAGTCTGCAGACACAAATCATCGTGGTTAAGACATTGTTGGAAGAGTTTGGTGTTCAGGCCATCAATCTGACTCACCAGGCCATTGCTTCGCTGTACGCATACAATGCGACGTCTGGTATAGTGGTAGATATCGGTGATCGTTTGGATATTCTTCCCATAATCGATGGTAAGATTTATGGTAGAGTTTAATATGCCTTTGTTTAATATATATATAAGACAAAATTTGTTGCGTTTTGCAGGTTACATAGTAGAAAGTGGAGTGAGTAGATTACCGTACGGCGGACAAAGGATAATTCATCACTTAAGACACAATCTGGCTCAAAAGCACATAAGGTAGAATTCATTATACACTTGTATATTTAAATTTTTTTTGTTTGTTCTTTGAAACTTGGCAATTGTTTCGCAATTATAGTTTAGTAAGTGACGTGGAATCGTTCATTGTGAGATACATATTGGAACAATCGTGCTACATAGCGCAGAATTACGAAGAGGAGATGGAAAGATTCCGCAACGACCCCGAAAGCGTAGAAAAATGCGTGTCTGTTAAAGAATTCTTCCACGATGAATCCCCATGGGAGTAAGTTCTAAAACTTTTTATACAAGATTACAGTATAAGGCAGTTAAATTTACTCAACTGATTTTTCTTCAGGGAAATTACGTTAGATTACGGGAGATTTCAGGCACCGGAGGGATTGTTCACACCCGATTTATGGGGACTGGATAACCCAGGCTTACATAAATTAGTTCATTTTGCCATTAAAGAATGTAGCATGGATATCAGGAGAGAGATGGCAAGAAGTATTTACGTCAGCGGCGGTGTCTCTCTGTTAAACGGGTTTGCTGAACGATTACAAGCAGAAGTAGATAAGCTTACCCCTCCAACTGTAACACCTAAAGTAAGTTCAGAAAAGTAAGGATATTTTATACTTTCAATTAGCTAATTTTATGTATTTATTCCTTTTCTTCTAGGTCCACGCATCTCCTTATCGCTATCACATGGCATATTTGGGTGCCTGTCAGTTGGCCGCTTCTAAAGAGTTCGATCAAGTGTGCGTTACACCACAGGAGTGGAAACAACAAGGAAATGCTTGTCTAAAGAAGTGGCATCTCTAACAATAGCATATTTTACAGTCAGGGAGTACTTTGTAGTGCAGTTCGGCACAGAAGAATCGGTATAATCTGGACTGCCATTTTGTGTATAACTTAAAAACAGGACCCATTAGAGGCATGCGCTACTTAAAAATCAGCGTGCCAATCTACACAAAGGATAGATGTTAATATTTTTTGACGTGTAAACTTTACGGAGGAAGGAAAGGAAAAAATTCCCATGCGCGCACCATTCCGCTAGTTTTCAAATTAGCAATTATTGCAGACGTTTTTGATAATTCAACTAACATTCCTTCAGGAGTGAAATCGTGTCAAACATTTCGGAAGAAACATTTTTGTGACTTTTTGCCAACAGTTGTTGTGAATAATTTAAGTCTTTGTTTTCCCTTACAAAGAATATTTATCTCATTCCATAAAAAAAGTGTACTTTTTGACAACTTTTGGTGATAATATTTTTGTTATTTGTTAATAAAAATTTTTATAAATAATGCTTTTAGTAGTGTTAGTGAGAAACAGATTGACAATGAGTAATGTCCCTAGTTTTAGACTGAGAGATTCCAAGGTTCACAGGCAGAGGCTGTGAAACTTGGTTTCTCAGCCCCAAGTTTCATGTGGCGGCAGAGGCCCTTATGTTCGTAAAGGCCTCTGCCGCCACATGGTTCCAACAGCATCTCTCTGAACTTAATGTGAGCACAACCCTCAACGTCCCCGGAATGAAAGTGCCAGACACTAGAATCGCGGATGCATCCTCACCTAACCAGTACGTTAGGATCAGTGCATATATACTCCTTATTAATATAAACTTTTTCAGTTGCATTTTCTATTTCCACTGTTAACAGTACTACACTCGTGTCTTTTACCAAAACTAAACCACAAAACGGACGATGGAGGGGAACACCCTGTTTTAATGTTACAGCACCGACAACACAAGATATAAGTTTTAGGAGAGAAAAAAAATCCACACTTACCCATCGGTAATAAAGCAATCTGTCTTGGTAATTTGAAAAGATGACTTTTATTACATGCACCAACAATACCAAACTTAAAACTGGATTTCACTCGGACACAATATATTTTACAACTCAACATTTGAATCTGGCGGAGCCAGACTAGTGCTGTAATAGTTTATCTTTAAATAAAAATTACAAATGGTAACAAAAAAAAAATATATATATATATAACTTATATACCTAAATCGAATTAACATCTTACCAAAAAAATAAAAACATTTACAATAAAAAAAAAGTCGGTTTTCTTGACGTCATAATAAGTTATGCCAATACAACAAATACATCTTTTGATTAAATCTTTTTTTTATATCATCCCCCATTTGTATTGTGCAGGTTCAGGAACGAAAAACTATATATTTACAATACATAGAATGGAGAAATGGACTCCTGGTTGTGCAGTTTAGATGTAAAATAATAATAGAAGGAAACCTGAAACTTGATAAATATTTATAAATTCAATTAGTACCACTGCACAAATTCTCATCCGTAAAGTAAAATTTACAGTAATACTGCAAGAGATGAGGTACAATTACTTCTTTGAGAAGTCTTAAGAATATATCAAACCCGTTTTTATTATTATTATTATTAATTTAATAATTCTATCCATCGCAAAAAAGTTTTTGTTTTAAATTCTATTTTGCTATAATTCTGTTGAGTTTTAAAAAATTCTAATAAAAAAACTTTGGCACTGACAACAATTTACAAGCGAAAATACTCATCGACACTAACTGGAGATCCGAAATAACTGAATTTTTAGGATGTCATGGGCAGCAACGCACAAAGCCGGAAGTGTGTAGCGACCGGATATAAACCCTCTGTGAAAGCTTCGGCTTGGTCTGCATTGTGTTTACACTTGTGTCTTCATGCCGGATGCCTAGAGTTGAGTTAAGCCAGGTACACATGTACTGGTATATCTGAACAGGAATGCCTGTACGTGCAGATAAAATAGAACTGACAGCTCTGTCCTCCACATTTTCAGGTATACCAGACAGGCATGCCTGTTCAGTTATATCTGAATGTGTACATGAAAAAGACTGACAGTTCTGTCCACATGTTCGGGTACATGTGAAGCCGGCTTTAAGCAAATTGCAAAATGAATGGTCATGGGTATCGCATGGTACAAACTCATTTGGTGAGGCCATTTGCAGAATAAATTCATACCGTGCGACACTCTCGACCCATTCGTATTGCCACTTGTGTAACTCGAACCTCGTGCTTTTTATTTAAGTGTTTCTTTAAATTTTTGATAATCAAAAGAGTTTTTAAAACATCAAACTCGGAAGGAGTGTAAAAAAAACAACAGGATCGGCAGAGAAAATCAAACTGGAATGTCAGATAAATGGTTCTTTTTCTCCCTCATTTTAATTCTTTAATCTCAATAAACCTCTTTCATTTGATCTAAAATATATATATTTATATATATATTTGTGTGTATGTGTGTTTTGTGAATGCGTGTTCATGTATATATATTTTATATTATATATATATATATATGTTTTAAAAAGATAGAATTATTTATAGTTTCTTAACCAAACTTAATTCCTTTCACGACACAATATAAATTCTCTTGGAAGAAAAAATGCTATTTAGAGAATGATAGATTACATAGATCAATGGATGAAATGGCAGTGTGAAAAATGAGATGCTACATAAATTAATTATTTTTCTTTTTGGCTAAGTTACGAGACAAATCTGACACTAACAATGCATAAAGATCGAAGATGCGCTCGACAAACATTACTATCTATTTCATATTCTACGATTTTTTTTGGTAACAATTTTTACAATTTCATAATTTACACTTAGAAGATGACTAAACTCTGTATTTTTCTTATTACATGCCGGTTCTTTCCGACGGTTTGACTCGTTATAAAGCTTTCTCTTTGTGTAACGAATGTCCTCTGGAATGTCACCTACCTATAAATAGCACAGGAGAAGAAATATATACGAGTGTTCGGTAGCTGCCGTGAGAAAATGGAGATCAACTAAGAAAATCAATCTTGAGCAAGAATTGTCTTCTGGACTTTTGTAAAAACTAAAGACTTGGGAAAAATATTTTCTTGTTTTTCTTAATCGTGTGGACTCTCTGATGGAAGAAGTGTGGTCCCAGACAGATCGGTCTTTGAATACACCAGGCCTGCTGTATTATTATTTTTTTTTTTTCTCGTTTTCTTTTTTTTTGGAATTTGGTGTGGGTGTTCGTTCTGCTAATCATTTCAAACATTCGTGTTAACTTTGACTACATGTCCATTGCTATTAACATGTCCATTATTAGACTGATTGTTGTACGAAGTGTCTGCATCTCCACATTCTGGTGGCGTAATAATGGTTTCTATGGCTTTATATAGAAACAGGATGTCATCCTGAAACGAGTCAATGGAGTTTTAATAAGATTAGATACAATTAAGTCCACTGGTATACCAATTAGATTTACCTTATAACTTAGTTATTGCAAAAAAATATATATATATATTAGTTATAATGGTACCTCATACTTCAAACGATTCTAACTTCAAATGATACTTCTGGGTTCAAACTTCTGCTGCAAGAGCATCTCTTGCATTACATTTGTGTGTTTTCAGTGTTGTTTTTTTTTTTTTTGCTTTATGTTTGGTGTGTTTAGTTATAAAACCTTGAGCAAAAGTATAGAATATTTATATATTTATAATTGTTGTGGAAAGAAGGACCAGAACTTTTAAAAGTTCTGGTCCTTCTTTCAGTCGGCCTTGGTGTGATAAGCCCTGCAAAAAATGTTATACCCTATTTGTTGGGTTATCTAATTCTTTCTAATTATAAAAAGTAAACAAAGACTTCAAAAACACATCATACAGCATTTAGAATGGCCTGCCAACAATCCAGATATACCTCCGACTGAAAATGTCTGGAATGTTCTAATGAAAATAATATCTTAAGAAAACAGTCAGAGAATCATGGTTGAAGGTTAATCCAAAACTATGTAAAATCTCTATTTCTACAATGCTACAAAGAACTACAGCTGTAATTATGGCAAAAAGTGGCCTTACAAAGCATTAATCATCAGTATTCCATATTTGTTCAACTCTTACTTTGTTTAAAATGCCATAAACTTTATAATATGCAATCATCTTTATGTTATTTGGAGTGTAAATACTTTAATATACCTATTATATTTGCCAATTGCTAAAAGTTCAATAATATTTTTGTCAGTTTGATTATTTCAGGATCGAAACAATTTTTCCACAATTACAAAATACTCTATACTTTTGCTCAAGAGTTATATATATAACTCCTGTTATTAACCATAGCATCTAAGAAGTGTCTGGAAGTAATGAAGCCTAAGGGAAAGATTGTAGTATCGACAATTAAGGTGAAACAAAAATTTATCACAAAGCACAAAAGCAATACACATGCAGTGTATCTGACAGCCAAGTTAAAGATGCTAAGTGTTGACTGTATGATAAATGCAATTTTCATTTTATTATACATTATTTACATATTTTATTTATTGTTTTCATGTTTTAATTTATTATTTATGACATTTAATTGTGTTGTTTATCAAAATGGGAATTGTTTTGGGTTTTAGAATGGATTAATTCACTTTCTGTTATTTCTAATGGAAAAAACTGATTCGGATTTTGAACAATTTGGGTTCAAACAGCTTCCCGGAATCAATTAAATTCAAAGTATGAGGCACTATTGTATTTGTATCTTTGTTATTATGAAGTTTATTTCAATTTCAACTATAATACCAAGTTGGAAGGATAAAAAAGTTCTAAATTTTAAAGTATAATTATCAATATTTAATCTTAAACTTTTTAAAATTCTATTTACTTACCTGTGTTCTCCATATTCCTGGTCTGCGTACATGATACAACTTAGCATACATATATACATCAAGGCAGTTTTCATAACCTAACTGCTTATAAACGGTTGTTAGACAACAGAATGTTGCAGCGTCTGTACCTCCAAACCTAACAGAATTATTATTTTTAATCAAAATTATAGCACCATATTTATATCAATGTAGAAAAACATTTAAAAACAACTCCCGATAAGTTCAGATAAATCTACAAGTAAATAAAGGATAACAAAGTCAACAGATTGGAATAGAAATAGATGACTAGCCATATTACATGTATGTATATTATTAAATTAACTTTCAAATACAGTAAAGAAATGCATCAGTAAAGAAATGCATGTGTAACAGTTGTCATACATATATTTTGATTTCATGTTTTGTTTGGGGCTCATAATGACCGATCAAGCGATATTTTAAGCATAAAAAACTTAAATGCGACTTACCTATCGACAACAATCATTGGGCCGTTTTGATATTCGAGATGCCAGTCTTGCACGATCCGCACTAAATCAAAAATCTGGTTCGTTGGTGTGAAAGCCTCCGGCCAGCCGGGGCATTGAATGATGCGACAAGTAACTTCGTACTCATCCTGATTTGACTGAAGGATAAAGTCTCGCGTCGTTACACACTCCTGAATGTTTTCTTCCACCATTTTCACTTTAAAGTGTCCATAATCCATTTCGACGTCATTCTCGGGCCAAAAGCACGGATAATCCTTAAAATATACATAAATTACCTCAATTATAATATATTTTTGATAATGTTGTTATAAAAAAAGTATTGATATGCTTACCTTCTCCACAACGGCACACATTAAAACAACAGTTTGAGAATTATGGTCCCAGACCATTTGCCAAAAATCACCAATCGTTTCTTGTAGCGGATACTGAGTTATAATAAATTCACGTAACTTAGTGAAGCCCTATTTATAAAGAAATTTTTATAAATTTTTGCTGTTTAAATAGAAAATTATTTAAATCCATTTGACACAACCTATAATTTCTTACTTGAAAAAACGTAGCATTTATATAATCGGAACCATCTGTGCCAGGTTTCGGAGTAATGTGAACACGGCTGGATTCTATAGGAATAAGGTTTAACGAACGGTTTTTCATTTTATTACAAGGTTTTAAGGCAGAAACAACATTAAAGTCTCTGGCTTTAAAAGAGGTCAGCAGCTACATTTAAAAAAAAAAAAAAACATTAAATGAAATCATTTAAGTACATTAAGAGCAAAAATACAAAAGGAAATAACAAACCTTAAACTGCCGTTCAAGTAACGTTAGACTATTTTTATCACCCGAATTAAGGTTGCTTTCACTGGAAGTCAAATTTTGTATGTATTGCGACAAATGACCACAATTGATTTCGGTGTCACCGCTCTCGATGGCTTCCAGCAAAGCATCATGAATAAATATATATTGTTCCTAAAAAAATTATTATTTTTCATTTATATATAATTCCGTTTACGATTTTAAAAAAATATCTACGTACTTCTGTCTGCACCAAATAATTTCTCTGCTGTCGAATATGCTTAAGGAAACCAAACACATTTACGCTCTGTCTCTGCTGTATTTGTTTTAACATCGCATCCAAGACAATATACGTTCCTGTTCGCCCCACACCGGCACTTGAAAGAAAAATTAAAAATACAGTCTTTAACTTAAGTTTAATATTAAAAAACCAATATCAGACATCAGACTCACCTGCAATGCACAATAATCGGCCCGCCAAATGGAGGATTAGCTGCCGAAGACTTTCGAACGAAACTGAGAACGGGAAGTGGGTGATCCGGTACTCCGTGATCAGGCCAATTTGTGTAGTGATACTGATAGACCGTTCGTTCGGCTCCTTGTTTCTGTAAATATAACATTAGTCAGCATTGCTCATAAAAATAACATTTGAAAATACATTTTACATTTTCTACATTTTATTTTATCCAGCCATTTGAATATATATATATATATATACACATCATTATTTCAATAATTATCATTATTTACCTTTCTGATTTTAGTGTTTCGAATAATGAAAGTCCTCAGAATGTATGTGGCCATGTTAAGCTCTCCTATCAGCCGAACTTGAATGATGCCATACGTTTCGATTCCTTCTTTCGGCCAATACATGTCACATTTTCTCTGTAAGATAATGGTTGTCGTTTAATTCCAACCTTTGCTTGTTTAATAATTAAGAGCATTAAGTGGAAAGAAATAAGTTGTATTTAATAATAAACCTAAAATATTTTTACTCACTTAAAATAATTATTTGAGATTTAACCATTTATAATAATTAATTCAACATTAAATTATTTTTTGCCCTGGCATATATATAGAGAATAAACTATTTCTGAGAAGATTTTTTATAATGAAAACAAAGATGGCACCTATAAAATTTCTTACCATCAAATAATATTGCAGGATTTAAATGTAAATAGTTATATTTTTAGCAAGTAATCTAATTTCTTCCACTCCAGGTACAAAGAGGATCTTTTATCATGCTCATCTCTCGCCAATCGATCACACTGAAATAGACCAATTGTATAGCAACAGATGGGGCCAGATGTGTCTGGATCGATCTGTACCTAAATTGATCAGGATTCAAACCCAGCATCTCAGAATGGCAGGTACTTAACTTGCCTCAGTAATAATTTGTTACGAGAAACTAGTCAAAACTGAAAATGATAGATGTGCACGGGCAGCAAAATTAAGGTGATACAGAATGTTGACAACTGCTGTTGCCGTTCTCCTCTTTGACCTCGACAATTAAAATGGGCAATTAAAATTGATCAAACACAGCATTGACGTCACCTTAATTTTCATGCCTGCATGCATCTGTTTAAAGAGTAAAGAAAACTTCAAGTCAACCTATGTTATCCAGAAGAGTCATAAAACAAACAAAGGAAGACAATCTGCAAGAAAAAATCTTGGTTTATCAAAGAAAATTAAAGAACTTTTTACAAAGTACAAGTAAAACATGAACTTTGATTCCACGATCAAACCTTTGTTAACCATTACAAGTTTATTGTATTCTGTTCCAAGATAATTCAATGACACTATTTAAATCATCTAATCAAACACTGTCCATTAACATATTCTATTATAATTTTTAAAATGTTTGATAATTTAAAACATTTTTGTATAGATTAACACAGTGATTTTCAACTGGTGTGCTGCGAAACTTATTGTGATTCATTTTATCTTAGAAATAGTGAGACATTGTGCAGGTTTCTAAAGGCAATTATCATTCCATTTCTAAATGCAAATAAAGACTTAATGTTAATTGCTTTTCTTATGCAAAGTAAGTTGAATAAGAAAAGTAACTTGCTGCTATTTTAAGGAACAACAATACTGTTTTATTTAATTCATAAAAATTATAAACAAAACTAATTAGGTTAAGTGGCAATTAATATGGCGACAGGATATTTACAAACACAACTTTAAATCACGTGATTTTTTCCACATAAATTTGTGCCGTGAAAATTTAATTATAGGTTTGAGTGTGCCATCAAATAAAAAAGGTTGAAAAACACCGGATTAACATGTAAGAACCTGATAAAAGCCCGTAAATAGACTGAAGTATTCATTATATTTAGACTTATACTTAATTATAGATTATTACAGATCTAAAAAGTTGCTTGATAATTCACACAGTGGTAATGAACCATCTTATTGTACCATTTACCATGTTGGACTTTTACAAAAGAGTTGGAGATTTAAAATTTTGAGAGCCAAAATTACAGATTTTGTGTATGGCTCCACTATGCTCATTGGATGTTCTCTATGCTAACAGTAGTAATTTGATAGTTTCGGCCACTGTGATTATACTCTGACAAATAGATTATTTCAGTTTGATTCTGATATAAATGGGATACAATAATGCACTTTTGCAATTTACACAATAATACACAACTTTTGCAATTCATTACATGCCAATGCCTCCCAAGAGGACATTTTACGGTGGCTTCTATTTAGATGTTACAAATATTAAAAAAAATCCAGAAAACTCCACGTGGCCAATCTGTCAGTGTGGCACAAACCTGCAACTGACTACCAATATTCAATGCTCTTATCCACTCACTTGTTTATACTAATATCTCTAAAAAACTATAGACAGTTAAGTAGAATATATTTTATGTAATACAACAAATTCAAAATAATTTTATTATTACGCTATATCAATTTATAACAAACACACAAAATTTTTATTTAAAGCACTCATTTATATTCACACAGGTGCTGTTACCTGTATGAATATAAAAGCCACAATTACTACAAACTGCACATTTGGATCAATTGTGAGGCTTTTGAAACACAGTGAAATGTGCTTAAGAACTCGCTAGTGACATTCTAATAATGGTTAGTACTATAGTGAACAATCGTTAAAAACTGGGGAACAAATAAATAAGTAAAAAAACCAAACACCTTACTAATATCCAGAATTAATTTAATGAAACACTATAAAACCTTAGTGGCCACTATCATGCAATCTTTTAGACCATGATTATGGCTATAAGAACTCTAACTCTTATTAGTTTGGAGTAGGGATCCAACTTTTGTGCTGTTCCTCTACATATAAATATATGTATGTATTTATATAAAACATTTTAGATTCCAGTAGGGGTTTAACTCGACCGTTTCAAACGTAGTGAAATTCCGTTAACGCGACATCTCGTCTGCTGACACGTCCAGCTTGTCTTTGGGGGGAGTATCAATGCACCAGGTATTCGTCTGTATTTATATGTAATTAGGTAGCTGGTTAATTAAAACTATAAATAATATAAATAGATATAAATGAAAGTGTACAAAGTAAGATTCTGGTTAAAGTGTCCAGATTATTCCTAAACAATAATCTGGACACTTTAACCAATAATCTAGGAATAATCTGGAAAAATTGAAATGGCATGTTAAACAATCATAAAAGGAAAGTTTGTACAATTTTACATGCTAAGTTATGTAAAACTATTTCTGGGGAATTGAAAAAACCAGAAAATATTCCATCATCCGATAAGTCGGCATATTTGATGATGCAGTGCCACGTCGGTCCAGACGATGCCGAGTTAATAAAATGTCACCGTAGTTACAATGATAAACAAGAAAGTATTTACTTGTTGGCTGCATGCTTGCAAACGGAATCAAAACAGTAAACTTTTATCTTTTGCACAAAGTTGCATTTCAGCAGTTTTCAAAATGAGTTTGCTATTTGATGGCAAGAGTCATTTAGTCTTTTTTGCATGGCTGAAAATTGTAAAGTATAATTGCCAGTTTACACTAGCATAAAAAAGATAATGTATTTTTAGTACATTTTATATCAATTTTGCTTTGTAAAGACAATTCAAGTAGTTAATAGATACAACAAAAGTAGATGGTATCATTAGTAAATGCAAAGCGTTCTCTTTAATATTTTAATTTTAATTAAGGCCAGATGGCCGAGAAGTTAAGGCATTGGCTACTGCTCTAGGGCACTGGGGAACGAATCTGAAAGGGTGAGAATCATTTGGAGGGGTCCCATCTCTCGTATCAAAGACAATAAATTTGTCGCTTTTCTTATCGAGAAAGTCTCATTTCTATAAATCTATCATTTTAATATATAGTAGCTCCTCACTATATTGTGCACATAGTGCAAATAAGAAATATATTTGAAAGAGAAAATAACAACACAATATATCTGAAGGAGTGATATAATGAGTATATTGTGTGCATTTTGTTTTACACATCAAAGCCTTTTATAATTATTCTCTGAATAAAAATATACTTTTAACTCAATTTTCTTAAGAGAATGCAAAAAAGATAAAACCAATTAAATGATAAAATTCATCAAATTTTACAAATAAACTAAGTTATGTATAAAACAGTTAGCACGTATGTTGAATACAGCTGTTCTCAGATCAAAATGAAGCAAAAAAACTATTATAATATTACTTTTGTAGACAACAAGAAATTGCAATAGCTATTATCTTATCCCTTTTAATCTGACGATTTTGGATAGCCTCGAGTCTTGACGTAACGAAGGTCGACGACAGAAAGAATAAATGGGCATTAATGATGCCAAATTGAAAAAACCATTGTGCCAAAATAAAAATAATTAAACTAATAAATTTAGTCTAAAGACAGATAATTAAGCCACCATCTCGTAATAATATAGTGCATCAAAAGAATTTACTACAAGAAATTGGTCTGCAGACACATGAAGAAAACCTGGAAAATCCCACATGGACGGTCTATTAACCGAGTGCAAACTCACAACCGACGATTGATATTTAGTGGTTGTATCCACTTGGGTACATACAGCAATCAGGAATTAGGTTAAATTAATTAAATTATTTAGGAATTCTAGAAGAAAAGATTGGTGTGAAGCCTGATTCAAACCCTTGTAAGTTCTTATCATGCAAATGCATTACCTATTTTGATAGCTTTATTAACTAATATTTTTGAACATTAAGTTATTCAGAGTCTCCATAACCTGACATGTATTGGACTAGTGGATGTTGGATTACTGGTTTTTGTATGACATACATAATGCACAGTTTAAAAAAAAAAAAACACCTAATTCACAGTTTAGTTTATGTAACCACACCATATGTGTAACAAACACCTAGCAACTGACAGTATACATCGCTTTCTTTCTATTGCATACATTGACAAGTGTTAATGCAAAAATTTCATGTGCACTGCCCTATGGAACGCCAGATTACTCGACATGTTGGAATGGCAAATGACGGACTACATAGACTCTACTGTATTTGCAAAATATAGACATTTTCCATAGTTTTCTCTGAATTTCATATTTGAAATGTACCGTAATCACAATAAGTCATTCAAAGACAGAAAGGTATGCAATTAAATTATCGTCTTTGCTACGGTTAATAATTATAAATTAAATAAGTTTCTGCCAAATCGATTAGCTCAATAATTTAATAATCGGCAAAGTTATACCTTGTAAATCGTCCATATTAAGTCTAGCTAAATTGAATAAGGGTTACTGTTTGTTTGCATATTGATGGCGTAAATGTGGCCCGTGAGCAGCATGTGGATCTTGAACATCGGCAATACAATTGTGTAACATATGACCGTTCGAACAGTCCAAGTGAAAAGCTTAGATAATGTCCCTACATTCATTCAAAAATGAGAAAAATATTGTT